ACAATGCTTCTTCTGAAATCCAAGCAGAGCGCTTTGGCAGCGGCCGGCAGCTGTGCGCCAGGACGGTGGGATGAGGAAGCCTTAACTCGCTCCCGCGGGAGGAGACCTGGTGAGCCCTGCTGCAAAGTCTCCTTTGGCTTTGCTGCTGGTGGCTCCAGCCGGTCTGTGCCCCACGTCTCCAGGCCTCTGCTTCTCGCTGCTCGGTGAACGTTCCTCCTCATCAGCCGGCGGGGCTGGCGGCCGGGGGCGCGGAGCAGTAAGCAAGCGCTCTGGTGGCCACCGCTGAGCCCTCCCTCTCCTCCACACATTCAGATCTCGTTTCCTTTCTCCGTCCCCGCTGCCCATACCTCACCCAGTCAGCGGGACCTCGCCCCTGGCTGGCTGTCCCCAGTCTGGGCCACCTTCCCGCCCGTTGTCCACACTGAATCAGAGGGCTCTTTGACAACGCCAACTGTCACTCCCTCGTTGAAGCCCTTTGTGGTCCCCTGTTGCTCTCAGTTCAGGATCCAAACTGCCCAGCATGTGTCCCAGGTTCCTTGTGATCTGATGCCTGCTTACCTGCCCAGTGCCCTCTTTCTCCAGATCTCCCCTTCCCATATTCCCTCCCTATCCCAACAACGGCTTCATCTCACCACCCGCCCACCATGCGGCAATCCTGCCAGAACGCTTGCATGTCCGTAATTATACCACTTTCTCTTTCGCTTGGGCCTTGGCACTTGGGAAGTGCACCGTGCCCTTCCTTCTTGCGTCCCCCACGACCCTAGCCTGGATAACTACTCTTTCCTTTAGGATTAAAGCTTAGACATCACCTCCTCTGAGAAATCTTCAGAGAGCCCGCTCCAAGGCAGGTTAGCCACCCTCTTCTGATTTGCGGTGGCTGAGTAGTGGGTTGCTCTCCCCCCACCTCCTCTGGAAACACTGTGTTTCTTATTCCTTCTTCCCCAGTCTAACCCGGTGACCCGCTCTAAACTAAGCCCTTAATAAACATTTGCTGAAGTGCGCAGATGCGGTGCCAACACCAGGTGGCGCTGCGGCCACGTGCCTGGGGAGGGCATCCTCTTTCTGACCCTGCTCTGGCCGGGCTGGACCGCCTCTGCTGTCATCATCGGGCGGGCTCCTAGAGGCTCAGGGAGGGCCTTCTGCAGTCAAGGGACGCTTCATGCCGTGCAGTGATGTCGGTGACTCACGTTTGGGGACAGACTCTTGCCCACGTGCCCGGAGACTTAATGCACACTCCAGAAGCCCAGGGTGTCACCCTTCTTCACCCAAACCCTTCCCTGCCGTGCTTTCTTTGAAACCCCCAGTTCTTACCAAACTTTGTTTCCTGTCCTGCTTAACATGGGACTTCAGTGGTTAATCTTAAATCAAATTTAAGATTCTACGCTATTCAAGGGCTTGCTTCTCAGAGTCATCCTTCCTCTCTGACACTCGTGACTTGAAAACAGCACACAGAACATATTAGCTGTTTGTCCATGAACTGGGTAACTAGTGATGAAAGCGAATGGTCAGCATGGGCGTTTCAAGAATGACAGGAGAGGATGGACTTCTTCTTCCTGAATATACCAAAGTCACCTCCAGAGGTCACCACGTGCGTGGTCACTGTGTAGGGTCGGCCACGGGGGCTAGAACCCGCAGGATGCTTTCCTGGACTCTGCCCTGCTCTCCTGTGGGTGGATCCTATCTAACTGTGCTTTGAGATTCTTTCGTCTTATTTCACAAACGTGGTGAAGTACAAAGAGCTCTGCTTGAACGTCAGAAGGTCTACGTTTGGGTGTCAGCGAAGACTTTGGAGCAAGTTGCTTTCCCAGCGCATGCCTTAGTTCCCCAGTCTGCTGGGGGAGGAGGGGCTTGGCCATCTCACTGTCCTGATGGGGGGTGTGAATTCCTGGGAGCCACATCGATGGCGCCCCAGTTGCTTTATCTGTGAAATAGAAATCATAGCTGTAACTACCCATAGGGCTTTTTTTTTTCTTAAATTGAGATGGAATTTACATAACATGAAATTAGTCATTTAAAAATATACCGTACAAATATACGTTTGTAATGTTGTGGAACCACCACCTGCTAGTGAAATCTGGGCTCCTGAGGAACAGGGACAGACCTTAGTCCATCTTTGGGTTCCTAGCACCTAGCAGAATCTGACCAACAGTATCTACCCAACAGATAGCTGTTGAGTTAGTGAATGAGTCGATTCTTCTCACATGGGTCATGTTTACACTTATTACACAGAAGGACCCGGCAGGAGCATGGGAACAGTAGAGGATAACGCAGTGTTAATATGATCCTAAACCTGGGTCCACATGGAAGTAGTGCATCTGAACACTTGGTGGCCTTGGACAAGCGGAACCACGGTCTGTCCATCTGTTCATCTGTGGATGGACGTTTGGGTTGTTTCTGCCTTTTGGCTACTGTGAGGAATGCTGTTGCGAACATGATGCACGTGTATTTGTTTGAGTTTCTGTTGTCAATTCCGCTCCTAAGGTGTTTGTGAGGACGGGGCACGCGCTTACCACGTAGAGGGTGCACAATAAACATTGATGATTGATGTTCTTAATTTTATCTTGAAGGTGTGTAAAAAGAGCCCCACATGGGTTCTTTCTCATGCTGTGTCTGACACACATGGGAGCCAGATTTCACTGTCTCCCCATTACTGGTTTTTAGCCTGTGTGTCTCTCCGTTCCCCGCCTGCCTATAGGCTGGTGTGGGAAACCAGAGTGGGGACGGCGGGGTGCGAAAGGCCGGGGACAAGTAGTGGACATGAGGATGTGGAGGTGAGTGGCGGGGGACGACCACTGGGCAGGTAGTGCTGAGTGCGGGGGAGGGGCAGGAAGGAGCAGACCCTGAGGGGGGTTTAAGAATGAGGAGGGCACACAATTGCTGATTGCTTCCGTTCCAGCTCCCGTGGCGAGAGGGCGGGCGGGGTGAGGCCAGGGCCCACGCCCCTAGCAGCCCAAGGCCAGGGCTAGGAAGTGCTTGTATTGGAGAGAGTTCCGACTGTGGCTGAAGCCTTCCATGGGGGTGGCGTTAGGGCTGGAAGCTGGGATCAACCTCCAGGAGTTGTCACCTTGACATCAGGTGACAAAATAGTAACGGGAAAATGCAGGTTTTTTTTAAGATTTTATTTATTTATTTATTTATTTGAGACAGAGAGAACAAGAGAGAGAGAGAGCACATGAAAGGGGGGAGGGTCAGAGGGAGAAGCAGGTTCCTTGCTGAGCAGGGAGCCCGATGCGGGACTCGATCCAGGGACTCCGGAATCATGACCTGAGCCGAAGGCAGTCGCTTAACCAACTGAGCCACCCAGGCGCCCGAAAACGCAGGTTTTAAGAAAGCTAATGCTGCCAGGAAGACAGGTGATTTTGGGCCATGGGTGAGATTGTTGGATGAGTTTGAACACTGTCTGTACAGGCCCACTAGGAGCAGAGAGGGAGGTCTCCAAAAGTGTGGTGGGTGGCCATCTGGAATTCTGGTAAACCTGTGCGGTCGGTGCTGGAGAAAGCAAGGGAGGATCCACCCAGCTTTGGGCAGAGCAGTTTCTTCTTGTGCAATAAAGCAGCCAGGACCTAACAGACAAAGGCCTCCTTCTTGCCCTGGTGTCCAAGAGAACTGAGAAGAATTACTCCCACTTGCATTCATGTCGTGGGAATCAGAATGCAGATCAAGAAGGAGGGAACCTATAAGTTGGCTCTTAGGAGGTGCGGTAGGAAATGAGGCAGTTGAGCATTCGCATCCCTGACTTATCTATTCTGGTCTCAGGTTTCAGTCTGAGATTCCCTCTCTCTAAAGTTAAATAATGACATCTTTGTGGGGAGAACTCACAGCTTGTATTGGAGAGGAATAGCCTTAGAGAGCATGAATCTGAGGGTTGTTATCCCCGCTGAAAAGAATCTGCTCCTGGTGTGGCCCTCAGGAGAAGTGCCAGCACTTGGCCAGGGAGGAGGGGCCCTTGAGCCAAGGGCAGGTCCATTCCAACACCATCTTTTCTGAATTTGAATGCTGTGTCTGCCTACCCCTCAACTGTCTTGCTCCTTCATTCACAACTCACATTAAGAAAAGTAATTTCTAGAATCCCTCATTTACTGGGTCAGTGAGCTCATAGGAGGATTAGTTGTTTTTGGAACAGGGAGGAAGTGTAAGATCGTTTAATCCAGTCCTTCCACTTGACAGAGGAAGAGAAACCAGAGGCCCAGAGACTTACTCAGATGTCACAGGGAGTGGGTTGGAGTCTGGACTAGAACTTGGGTCTCCAGGCCCCCAGCCCAGAGAGCTTTCCACTGTCCTGCACATTCTGAAAACCCAAGTTCACTGCAAGAGTTTGTATCTGGCTCAGGGACCTCTCAGGAGGGAGCTTCCCTTTACCTATCCTCTCCTATTTCTGAATATTTAAAACACAAAAGCCAAACTGTAGACAAAAAAAGATATTATATCTATTTGTCAGGAGATAGTGTCTATTTACCATTTTCTGTCTTAAGAATCCAGGTATCAACGAACACTAACCTGTTAAAACCTGCTAGTTATGGGCAGGAATTATGAAGGCCCAGCATGGAGAATCTCAGTCAAGACAGAAACAATAAAAATTAATGTTTAGACCAAAGAAGAGAATACTAAATGTGGTGTCAAAGGGAATGTGTAGAATGCTAAATATAAGAATAAAGCCTAGAAGGGTGGCTCAAAAAGGAGAGTATAGGGAAGTGGGACTTTTCATTTTATGGCAGGAGGAGGGTTTCGGCAAGATGAAAGTGTATCCGGGAAAGGCTGTTTATTTATAACTGTTTTCCAGGCTGGAGAAGTCAGATGTCCGCAGGACTAGATAAGTAAGCAAGAAATACACCAGGCACATAGTTGGTCTAGCTAAAAGTTGGAAATTCTGGAAGGTTCGAGGCTTTTCCCGGGGAAATGGATGAGAGTGTTTTCCTTCTGGGAGAAGCTGCTGACCCTTTGCCCAGCCAGAAGCAGGTGATGAGGCCCAAGCTCTGCTAAGGTGCTGTGAATTCTCTCAGATGGCAGGGACAGCACGCCACGATCGGGAGATGGCGATCCAGGCCAAGAAAAAGCTCACCACGGCCACCGACCCCATTGAAAGACTCCGACTGCAGTGCCTGGCCAGGGGCTCTGCAGGCATCAAAGGACTTGGCAGGTAAGATCCAGGCCAGGGGGTGGCAGGGGGATGAAGTAAAGAGGCAGGACACAGGCGGGTGAGGCTATTACCAGCTCTATGACCTTGAGCAAGTCTTGGCCTCCTAGGGTCTCCGTTCCCTAGTTATAAAATGCAGTTTGGAAGAAGTGATCTCTGAAGTCCCTTGTGACAATTTTTAGGTCTTCGTCGCAGATTCAGCAAGGCTGTGTCTGCGACAAGAGAATACAGATACCGGGACAACTGGAAGTGAAGGGAGAGGCATGTGCAGGTCCAGGAGGCCCCCAGCAGGACATGGAGAGAGACACTCCCAGCAGCTGTGACCATAGCGGCGGGCGTGGAAGAGGGAGGAGGTTGTTCTCAGGCAGTCCGGTCTTGCTCACCTCCGGGGGGCCACGGGAGAGAATCCCACTGCAGTGAATATCCCCTTGGCTTGGTAGGGCCTGTCCTCGGACCCTCTGATAGTGTGAGAAGTCCTCAAGACCAGGAAATCTAAGGAGAAAGAGATTGTTAGCCTCCAGTGGTCAGATCCTGTGCCTTATCTCTCTCTCCTTTTTTAAAAGATTTTATTTATTTATTTATTTATTTATTTATTTATTTATTTACTCGAGAGAGTCCAAGCGGTGGGAGGGTGGTGGGGGAGGGAAAGGGACAAGCAGACTCTGCACTGAGTGCAGAGCCCAGTGCAGGGCTCGATCATCCCACCACCCTGAGATCATGACCGAGCCAAAATCAAGAGTCAGACACCTAACTAGCTTATCTAAATTCCCATTTCAACCGTGATACACCTAGCTTCCACTATCTGCCATCTATTTACTTAATTGTTCAATTCCAGTATACCTTATAGCATATCAGAATTGTTAACTCAAATCTCCATGGGAAATATCTTTATCAACTAGAGTTCAGTGCTTATGTGTGGTTCCTTGTCCCTTTAGTCCTACAGACTCTACTCATTTCCACAGTTACTTAAGTCAGCATACCCCACCCCCACCTTCAGTGAGATTGTTTCAAACTTTTGTAATACAGTTAGGTTCTCTTGTCACTGTCTGCTTAAGTTAAATTCCCCTGACCTCCTAAATAATTTTTTGAAAATTTGTACACATTAAGGTTTACTCTTTGTACTATAAAGTTCTGTGGGCATTAGCAAGTGCATAGGGTCATGTATCCACCATTATAAAATTGTACAGAATAGTTTAACTGCCCTAAAAATCCCCTGTGTTCTGCCTGTTCTCTTCTCCCCTTCCCCTTGTCTTTTTACTGTCTCTATAACTGTGCCTTTTTCAGAATGTCATAGAATTAGAATCACATAGTACATTTTATTTTATGAGATGCTGGGAAGAGGCTCTCTAATTTTGGAAGGAGGGTACAGAACAAAATCTAGGGCTTCTGTATTTTACTTTGAAAAACCTTGAGAGTGGTTCATTTTTAAATCTCCATCCTTACACCTTGTTCTCTGTTTTTTTTTTTTTTCTCTTTCTCTCTTTGTGTGTATGTGTGTGTGTATTTTCTTTAGAGTGTTTCGAATTATGGATGACAATAATAACCGAACCCTTGACTTCAAAGAATTTGTGAAAGGGCTAAATGATTATGCCGTGGTCATGGAAAAGGAAGAGGCAGAAGAGCTCTTCCGGAGGTTTGATAGAGATGGAAATGGAACAATAGACTTCAATGAATTTCTTCTTACATTAAGAGTAAGTGGCCTCATGAATCAGTGTATCTGCTAAGTTTGGCTTTCACATGGTTTGGGTTGGCTATTTGAGGTTTTGTTTTCAGAAATTGTCAGTGTACTGTAGAGGAGATGGGAAGGAGATTGATAACAGGTTGAGGGTCTTTTTGGAGTAATTGTCATGAATGTTGTTTAACAAACATTTTATTTGTTAACAAACAAACATGCAAACCATTTCATACAACACTGAGAGGAAGCAGCGATTTCATGATGTATGATACAAAACAAGCTCATTTTCTTGTGTTGTCTCTGTATGTGTTTTTTTCTATTTATCTAGCCTCCAATGTCTAGAGCCAGAAAAGAGGTAGTTATGCAAGCTTTTAGGAAGTTAGACAAGACTGGAGACGGAGTTATAACAATTGAAGATCTTCGGGAGGTATATAACGCAAAACACCACCCTAAGTATCAAAATGGAGAATGGACCGAGGAACAAGTGTTCAGGAAATTTCTGGATAACTTTGATTCACCCTATGACAAAGATGGACTGGTAAGTACAGGAGTTTAAGTGGAATTTCTTTTGTCGAATTTGTAATTGTAATTAGGAAATAGGACCAAAGCCTTAAGAAATACGTATAACATATTCTTTATAAATAGAAGTAAAATATTTCCTCAGAGACTATCTAGAAAATTGGGAGAGAAAGTGATAAGATATATGTGTGTGCAATATATTGGTAAGGGATCCACATACAGCTAAATACCCATCATCTGGAGAATGTGATATTTTGATTTAACACTCCGTTTCATGGTTACCATACTTAGCCAGCCACGTTCCAATGAACTAGACTACAACAAAGCTTATTGAACTTCAAAATGAAACCATAACTTAATTTTTTGGAATATGATTCACAAGGTGTTTCAGGAGGTGGCAGTGCTTTTCACACTCATCCTCACAACATTGTTTATGATCACATTTTGCTATGTAGGAATGACGTTTAAGGGAGGCTTTCAGTAAAGGGAATGCCAGATAACAGAATTTACTTTGATTTCCTCTATAGCGAGCTTTGAGATTAACTTGCATTTCGAAACTACAGTGAATTTAAGAACAAAAGCCACAACCCCACCTCCATTAACTGGTATCTTCAAGTTACAAATGCATAGCTGGGTAGGGTAAGGCATTGTATCTCTGCGACCGTGTCCAGGCTGAGATGACTTTTATCAACAGCCGTGATTGGACTTCTGAACTCGGCCCCAGTTCAGCTGTTAAGTGTCTTGGAGGCTCTGATGATGGGGAAGGGAGTGTTCTCCTTGGCTGACAGTCAGAGCCACAGAACCCTGGGGACGGTTCTTCCTCACCCCCCTGTGTCACACAGCAAGGAACAAAAGATGGCAATGATAGGAATAGGAAACAAGGCTTCCCCTTCTGAAGGGAATTTCCCCCAACTTTTCTATGAAACTTCATGGTAAGTCTTATTAGCAAGGGGTTAGGGGCCTAGGAAGGCAAACTTTATTTCCTTCCTGCTGACATTTTCCTGCTGGGGATGGAGAAATACCCTTCTTTTTAGTTGAGGGGATTACAGAGGTGGATTAAAAGAAAGGGGGGCTGGTGCTCTAGATTCTGTAGGGCAGCCTAATGCTTAGGGACAGAAATAACAGAACATATGTTTTCTTCCAACATTGCTGGCCCTTGATCTCTGAAATGGCAGTGGAAAAATAGTCAACTGCCATTTCCCCCAAATTAGCCCACCTCTACATGAGATCCCAGGGTGTACTTGCCTCCTCTCTGCAGGTGGTTCCTTCTCCTCATTGCCAGGGGAAACCTCAGCTGCCCTTTGCTCTAACCCAAGTCAAAGTGGCTGGTTGTTATGATTCAGCTGATTTAAAGTTCCCACCCCTGTCCCTTTGACATTTATTTTAACAAGCCATCTTAAATTCTCAAATACTCATAAAGGTCAATGGGGTTTTTAGCAGTTACAGCGTTTGGTATCACCTGAATATCACAGACCCTGTATTAATACCCAGCTGACAGTGCATGATCATCATCTGGGGGTATGTTTTAATAATGTACCTTGCGGGGTGCACCACGGAACTACAGAATCTGATCATTTTTGGGTGGAGATCAAGGATTTGCAATTTTAGTAAGTGCCCCAGATGACTCTTATTCACATTCATATTTGAGATCCTTGTCTCTAAAAGATTCAGAAGTGCCTCTTTTTAATTACTACATATAATACGCACATGAACCTCATTTGCATAATTATGGATCTGGATCATTTATTGACTACTTATCTACTGGGTATTGTACTAAGGGTTTTACAGGGAGATCTCACCAAAAGACATAATGAAAATGTTTCTGAAAAGTGATGTGTGATTCAGACTTTTGTACATTGAATCATATTTTAAATGTGCAAGGAACTGTTGGTGTAAAGAAACTCCATGGTAAATTCTTTTATAAACAGAATAATGAGTTCTTAACTTATCTTTTCCAAATTGAGTTGTTTTACACATTAAGATTTCTTATGGTGAAGCATAGTTATGTTTGAAGCCAGTGCACTCATTTATGGTTAAAAAATATAGCTGATATCCAAGTAAGACAGAATTTAAAATAAGGCAAGAAATTTAGTAGACTCCTCAACTAAGTATTATGCTCAAATTTGTGAACTTTTAGTAGTCTGGGCTAAGCTCTCAAGTAGTCGTGAAGGCTCCTGGGGTTTACAGTAGTCATGGATTTTGACATAATGGATCCTGTATTAATAATCCCCACATCCTACCCTCAGAGCACCCTGTGTCCCAGAAACCATGCGGATGGAGGTATGAAAGCAACCAAATAATGTATGAAGTGAACCTTCTTCACTCTGATTATTTTTTAAAGATTCATCTATTTATTTGAGAGAGAGAGAGGGAGAGAGAGCGTGTGGGCAGGGGGGAGGGGCACAGGCAGAGGGAGAGAGAGAATCTCAAGCAGACTCCCTGCTGAGCATGGAGCCCAAGGTAGGGCTCAATCTCATGATCCTGAGATCAAGACCGGAGCCAAAATCAAGAGTCAGACGTTTAACCGACTGAGCCACTCAGGTGCCACCCTCTCTCCTATTCTATCTCTAAACCCTACCCTAGTTGGGTGAAACTTTCACTTCTTATTTTTTTAATATCTAGGTATGGAAGTTTTCATTTTATATGTTATTTTACAATTACAAATATTTTTAAAGAATCTCTCAGAAGTAGATTAGCCTTTGAGAGAATATGGGTCTTGTTGTCTAGTCTATATCATATAAGATTTTTTTAATAATTAAAATTATTTTAAATATATTACTGAGTGTATATAAATAACCTAAACTTATTTGATGATTTTTTAAAATCAGTCTTAAGCAGAGAAAAAGGTACTGTATTCTGTATCATGACTCAAATATTTCCATTGCTCCCATGTGGGACTTTCTCCATTATATGATAAATATTCTATCCACTAAAGGTAGCATAGTCAAGAGGCTAGCCAAGGGCAGGGGTGTCCACTTTCTTACTTTTTACTAATGTCCAACAAAATAATTAAGTAGTCATTATTACTGAAAAGTGATTTACTACGATGAGGGCAAACTTGGGGACATCATAGGATTTGTGATTCAGGCTATCCTCAGTATAAGTTGAGTCTCAGGAAACAAGCAGAACCCTCACTAAGAATAACTGATGGCCTTTTCTGAAGTGATCAAATGTCTTAGCTCTGATGTCCAGTTTTATGTAACCTGACTCTCAGATGGGGTTTAATGCTAGATAAAGGGGGAATGCAAAGGAGGACGTAAGTAAAGAGATTGAAGAAAGGAGAACATTAATGGTATTCTAATTTTAGTAAAAGTTATGCACATATTTACTTCTACTTCTAGGCCACTGAAAAGCCCAGCTTAACTATTAGTTCAGTCCAATGACTTCCTTCCTTCTGCATTTTACTATTTTGGGGTTGTGTGAGGGGTAGGTACAGGGAGAGAAATATGGATCCTGTGACTTTTTTTCTCTGTTCACTTCTGATTGCAGCAAAAAAAGGTAAGTGAGTTAATCAGCTCCTATGATTCTTAGAAGATATAGGTGGGCACTCTGTGGAAGAAGGGTTTTGAATTATTTCTGGGTTTCACTTTTTGTGATGTTTTTAATCCCTTGTGACACTTAAAATTGAGGACTAACTAGAGAACAATACGTTTCTTAAACAGCCATCATTATTGTCTCTGTGTCCTCCCATGTAAGCCGGGCTGTACTTTGGGCTAAATTGATTGGTTAGAGAGCTCAGCCAAACAGGAAGACAGTTCTTTTCCTGAGTCACCTAATCACTTCAGCCAGTATGGTTGAACTACAGCGTATATATTGCCTACACCTAGTCAAAAATAAGATGGATAACTATTGTTTCTTCTTTCTAAAAAGAAAGTAATATAAAATTCTAGCCTAGGTAAACACATTAATTGATATTCCAAAGAGACCGTTATAGGCACAGGATGGAGAGAGCACCCACCCCCGGTGAGGTGGAGACGCATGGAGCAGCGGGTGCCTTTTTTTTTTTTTACTCACTTTGTGCCTTGAAACGAGTAAGTTCTATCTTAAAAAAGCGTGAAGCCGTGGAGTATTTCACTAGAAATCTATTTCTTTATCCACAGGACAGAATCCCACTTTCTGAAAGGTGAAACGTTATTTGCCCTGACCCAGAACCTGAGGCGCTATTTCTGACGTGTCACAGAAAGCCCATACTAACTACCGCTAAAGAAACTTGTTTCTTATTCTGAGTTTCAGTCGCACTTATCCAAACAGATGGGCTCCTGCTCTTAAAGAAAGGCGAGAACCTGTATCTCACTTTCCATTTAGGTTGGTCTGGAAATTTTCAAGACTTTCTACCCATCTTCCCCTCTGTACCCCTCACGGTCATCCTCAACTTGACTGCTTCCTCTTGTCTGAGATCTCTTCTTGATCTGTGTCACTAAAAAGCCTTGACCAAAGTTTCCCTCCCATTTACAGGTACTGGAGATGGGCCTCCACTGAAGTGGTGGGAGGCAAAGTTTTGTTTTTGTTTCTGACTTTTCCCCTGCAGGTGACCCCCGAGGAGTTTATGAACTACTATGCAGGGGTGAGCGCATCCATTGACACCGATGTGTATTTCATTGTCGTGATGAGAACTGCCTGGAAGCTCTAAATGTAGGACCCCGGGGACAGGGCCTTGGGTAAAGCCACTTGGCTCCAAATGGTTAAACATCAGCCCCAAACAAGAATCACATTTGATTTCATGTTCATCCCAGTGTTTCTTTCATGTCGACACACTACATTTTCTAGGGCAGAAATGGCAGTATGTACTTCACTTCTCTGAAGTTGTTTCCTTAGCTCTACTAGAGGAATTAAAGAAAATAAGATTCAAAAAGCTACTAGAGCCAGGTCTAGGATGCATACACATGTCTAATAAACATAGGTGCCCTCCTTGGCCGTGAATAAAATTTTGACTATTTTAATTACAATCCCCACCCACACACCCACAGTCTTTCTCCACTTCCTTTATAGATGGTCCATTTCTCGGTGGGAGAATTCACCTGTTTTTACAACTGACTTTAAATCTTTAAGTGCTTCGGTTCCAAATTGGGGACTGGAAGAGAACCACACATTAGCCTCAATTTTTATACCTGAATCTTGAGTTTCTCTGCCAGTGGTTTAGGGAAGCCTCAGTTTGGTGAATAGATTTAGAATGACATTTTTGGGTCATCTAAAGTGTCTGTGGGAGGGGAGGCCATTTCCTTGAGCAGTAGGGCTAGGACCATCCATGTGGTTAAAGTTTGAGGCTGGGCTGTGCTCTCAGATTTTATGTGGGACCTCTTGCCCTGTGAGTGGGCAGACCATATAAGCAAACCTTTGTCCAGCAGAATGTTCATCTTCCCCCTCCCTGCCATGGGCCTATAATGTTGATATTCCCACCAGTACAAGGGGGTGGGGTATGACATAGACAAGGATAGCAGGCCTACCCCAAAGAGGGTTTTCCATCTTGACAAAACTTCATGGCCCAAAGTGTTCTCTTTCCAGCTCTAAGCTTTGGCTTCATATTGTCAATGTGTGAGACTCTCCCCATGAAAGGCTTCCAAGCAAAGGCAGCCCCAGCTGCTAGCAAATAGATATTGAAAACACCACTGTCCCTCTGTGTGTTCTGTGTCTGGGGCCAGAGGTGAAAGCACAGTGACCAGCCCTTTGGCTATGGTGTTGGAGATAATGACCACCTGCCTTATTACTCAAGGACAGTCCTTTTTGTCACCGCTGTCCCTGGCTGCATTCATCCCCTGGTTCGGGGACATGGATTGGGATAATAGTCCCCTTTAAGATCCCATGTATTTAAGTAGCTCTGGGCTTAGGGTCAATCAAACACAGTTGCTGTATTTTGTACCATTCACTTGTTTACTTTTTATATTGCCGAGTTGGAAGTGGAGATCAAGATACACATTGATTTAAAATTTGTGAAAGCAGGTGTTTCCAGATGAGAATCATAGCAGTTTGTTTGTTGTCAAGAAGCTAATCTCCCACTTACTCTGATGACAGGCTGGACAAGTGATCTTTTTCTTGAGGATGGGAGCATTCCCAAATTATGGGAAGCTGGTTTTTCAGAAATTAATTGTACAACTCTGGCTTTCCACTGGCTTTATATTATTTAGGTTTATATGGAGATTGACAAGCCAAAAGATGCCAAGTGTTATGAAGAAATATGTAGAAATGAGGTAGAAATCTAGAAGAGATTATGATGGAGTGTATAGGAAAAAAATCCATGTTTTCTGTAACCTGCACCTTGCAGATTATGGCTAAGGAGAGGTCTCTGGTTTCCTGGCCATGATTTCAAGCTTACTGCTCTAGATAGATTTGTGTCTTTGATTTTGGGAATGACTCATGCCTCTGCTTAACTGGGGCCATAGAGTTAGCATGTGATTCCGAACAAGGACTAGGTTGTAGCTATCAGCTTCGTCTTCCCCAGTCGTACTCTTGCTTCCTGTCTAATTGGGGCACAGCTCTCAGATTTCAGATAACCTGTACCTCAGAGTGTATTTGGCCACATTCAGTTGTCTCCCTTCTAGCAGGTCAGGTCCTGGGCCCACAAGCGAGGATTCCACCAAGGTCCTCTTGTCCCCCATAAACAATATCTAACAACCTGATGGTTAAGGATCACTCCACTCCCATTCTGAGTCTTCTAGGCCAGTGATTTCTGGTCTAGTCAGGACTCACTCATTATTTAACTCTTACTCCTTCTGGTAGCAGTGGGAGAAACAAAGAGTCATTTAAGAAAAATCATTTGCTAACAACACTTTTCTGGATATATTTTCTGTTTATTTAACTTACACAATTTAAATATTACTCCATTTGCAGTTTAAAAAGTAAATACCGAGGTCAGAAGATAAAACACAATAAAATATCCCCAACCCTTAGGAGCACCTTACCTGTGGGGTCTGGACCCCAGATAAGAAGTAACAAGCCAAAGAGAAGAGGATGAGCTTGGCAGCTTTCACAAAACAGAACAGTGTATGTAAAAATTCTGAGAATCAGGATTGGCCAGAAGAAGCCATCAATATCAGTACTGAATCTGAGTTCTAACTCCCCCCAAAAGGCAAACCTAGGCAAGGATGGAGGGCTGGTTTCTTCTTTAACCTCTTTAAGGGCTTCTTTAAGGGCTGGTTCCCATCCTGCCTGAATTCCATTCAGAGTGCAAGTGAGTAATCCCACAGCATTGGTATTGTAGCCTGAGGCAGAATTCTTCCAGCCCATCGGCACGGCTATTTTTCCTAGACATTCAAACCTTGATAGGATTTTGTCCCAGACCCATATGGCACTCTGGAGGATGATGCCTGGCTCTTTGTGGTTTGGTGGCAGCATGGAGCAACACTTCATACTAAGAACAGCTTCAAAGCTAAGAGCATTTTTTTTTAAAGATTTTTTATTTATTCATTTGAGACACAGAGATACAGAGAGAGAGAGAGAGGGAGAGAGAGCATGAGCAGGGAGAGAGGGAGTGGGAGAAGCAGGCTCCCTGCCGAGCAGGAAGCCAGATGCGGGGCTCGATCCCAGGACGCCGGGATCATGACCTGAGCCGAAGGCAGACGCTTAACCATCTGAGCCACCCAGGTGCCCCAGCTAAGAGCAGCTTTTTAAAGTAGAGCTGGGTCCCCACCAAGTAGGCTGTAGATTGGCTTTGTCACATTACAGTTTTAGGCTGAATACATCCCATTAGTAAATATTTATTGAGTCACTCCTATGTGCCCTGTTCTACCCTAGGCTGTGGGGATAGAGGAAGGGGCTAGGATAAATGCAAACCAAACCACTGGCTTTGAAACCAAACTAAAAGTCCCCAGTTAAGAGATCAGAGAGGAGGGGAAGCATAGGCACTGAAGCCAGGACAGTTGGGGCCCTTTATATAGCAGTGTGCTGTAGGACCATGTAGTAAATTTAATGAATGTAGGCAATCTATCAAGACACTGCCAGGAAAATACCCCTCTATTCTTGGAGGCAGATCATCGTGTCAGCCCTTCACTTCTCTTGGCCAGTGTGGATAGCCTCACTGAGCCATGAGAGTACAAGTAGGTAATGATTCAACCTTCTTTAGGCAACCTACAGATGCAGTTCGTTCTGCTGATGTTTAATCAAGTGGAGAGATGAAATTAACCAAATATGTATTCTTGACTGGTGTGTGGGTGCCCTTCTGCTCCTTCTTTATGAAATTCTACTAATACCCTCTGAGTGGTATACCTTTTTGGATTTATACACAACACTCTGGGGCATAGAATGAAAACCCCCACAAATTCCAATTTCTCAGATCGGTCAACAAACATGCTTTCCTGGAAATTATAGGCTGTTCTTGTAAATTAAAAGCTTGTTGAAAGAAGCAGCGAAGTTTTAAATTTTAGAAATGCTTATGATTCAAGGAAAAACAAAGGTGCCAAAGGACCTGATAGGTTGTCATATAATGTTATCTTCATGCAACTGATCCTTTGGAAGCCAATGTTTCTAAGCGTAGTTCTACTCCAAGTTGCTGATGTGGAAGCTACATAACTTTGATAGAGATAACTAGTTTTTTCCTTGTCATAAAAAAAAAAACCTCACTAAGTGAATCCCCTAAAATTATGTCTTGTAAAACAGATGACGGGTGAAATCTGTTGAAAGAAACATAAACAAATGATTGATGGGGGTTCTGAGAACACTGCTGTGTGAGAAGAGTTCTTTTGCCACCTCAGTTGGTGCGGTGAGAAGCTTGTGGTGAAGCAGTTCTTCCTCTCTCAGAATAGCATGACCTTCTTGTTTTATTTTCACACCTGCTTCGCCAAAGCCAGTATCTTCCTTCAGCAGAATAGAGTGAAAGGTGCTCTTTAGGAGTGACCCCACCAAAAATATGAGCCACCGACCTGTAACTGAGGTTTTGATAATGGACCTTGCAAGAACCAGAAAGGTATATCGTATCAGGGAAAGAAAAATCACAAAATGTACTGGCCTATTTTCTTTTGTTCTAGATTCTTCTTACTCTTCATAAATGGAATTTATTTGTTTATGATTTCTCTGGAGTATGATACAAATTCTAATAGCCACTGAACACGGTTGAAGCAATCTCTGTTTCACTGAAGTTCTTGTAAGCACCATTTCCTGTTCCCACTCTTGCTCCCAACATGGAGACACGTGGCACGCAGCTCAGATGTTTCATTCTGCACGAGAGCCCATAATAAATTTAAGAGGGACTCTGTGACTTAGAGCTCAAGCAACTGAAATTTCGAAGCAACATCTGAGTTTGTAGTTTGTAATTCTGTCATGAAAGACTTGAGCAACTTTTCTTTATAAGCCTTAGCACTTGGCACTCAGACACTGGTATTGATTCTGGAAACATCTTGCTCTTAAACTTGAAAGGTTTGAGTTGCTGGTCTCCTAGAAACACTCAGGCTACATGCAGAGCTGATGACTGTCAGTGCTCTGGGAGAGACTTAGAACAGAAAGGGAACCTGTAATTGAGAGAAAATGACAGATGGCAGAGCAGTTTGCTCTTGCTGGGGTTATAGTGAGCCTCCGAGTGCTTCCACCTTGATGGGATAAAGTGCAACACAAACTCAGGGCATTACCAAATGCTAGGCATTACCTTCTGAAACCCAGATCATTCTTTTAGTTTCCAAGGGGACTGTGGAATAAACTCTGTTC